TTTTCTCAGTGGTGATTCTGGGGATGGTTGTTCTTCAGTTGATGATGTTGTTGTCCTCGGACTTGAAGGTTGTGGAGCTGGATGTGATTGTGTACCTTCTGCTTCATCTTCATGTTCTTCTGGTATGGTATTTTGCCTCCACCGTGTACTTACCATGATATTTTGGTATTCGACTTTTTCTTCCGCCCAGTTCCACGCAGCATTCTCATCGAACTCGACATCTCGACATATAATTAGTTTACCAGTCTTGAGGATGTAAATTATGTATCCTTTAGATTGAGACGCATAGCCGAGGAATATGCCTTTTTTAGATTTCTCCTCCATTTTGTGCCTCTTTTCTTTTGGAATGTGCACATAGAAAATACTCCCAAAGACTCGTAAATGTTGAGCTGAAGGTTTTCTTCCACTGCAAGCTTCTATTGGAGTTTTATTTTGGACAACTTTAGTAGGACACTTGTCGAGTAGATAGACTGCAGAGTATACAGCTTCTGCCCAAAATTCTTTAGGCATGTTCTTCTACACGAGCATTGTCCTAGCCATCTCTTGTACAGTTCTGTTTTTCCTTTCTGACACACCATTTTGATCTGGAGCATAGCCGACAGTTAGCTGGTGGTTGACTCCTTCATCTTTGCAGAATTTGTTGAACTCCTTAGATGTGTATTCTGTTCCTCGATCACTCTGAAGTAGTTTAATTCTTCTTCCACTCTGACGAACAATCATCCCCAGAATCACCATCGAGAAAAGTACGAACACCATGGGAGATCTATGAGACATGCAATTCTGCCACGATGGAACCTGAAAGCTATGAAGCAGCAGTAAAGGAACAGAGTGGGTAAAAGCCATAGAAGAAGAAATCCGGATGATCGAGAAGAATAAAACTTGGGAGTTGGTAGATCCACCAAACAACAAGGAAGTCATTGGAGTTAAGTGGGTCTACAAGACGAAACTTAACCCAGATAGTTCAATCCAAAAACATAAAGCACGACTGGTTGCTAAAGGATACTCACAACTTCCTGGGATAGACTACAACGAGACCTTCGCTCCAGTTGCTCGACTAGATACTATAAGAGCTCTAATTGCACTAGCAGCTCAGAAGAAATGGAGAATCTACCAGCTTGATGTCAAGTCTGCATTTCTCAATGGCTATCTGGAAGAGGAAATCTACGTTGAACAACCTCAAGGGTTCGTGGCAGAAGGGCAAGAAAATAAAGTCCTAAAACTAAATAAGGCGCTTTACGGATTAAAACAAGCCCCACGAGCCTGCTACAGCCGAATTGATGACTACTTCACTAGTCATAGATTCAAAAGAAGTGAAATTGAGCCAACACTCTACATCAAGACCCAAGGTAACGACAACAAACTCATTATCTCTCTTTATGTAGATGATCTTATTTATACAGAGAACAATGAGGAGTTGATTAAGGAGCTCAAAGAATATATGATGAAGACCTTTGAGATGACAGACCTTGGGCAAATTAGCTATTTTTTCGGCATTGAGGTAAATCAAGAAGAAAATTAGATATTTATCTCACATAGGAAATACACAAATAATCTACTAAAAAGGTTCAAAATGGACGACTGCAAACCAATGGCTACTCCCATGGTTGCGAACGAAAAATTCAGCAAGGACGACGGTACGCCAAATGCAGACGCATCCACATACCGAAGTCTGATTGGAAGCCTGCTATATCTAACTGCCACAAGACCGGATATCATGTACGCTACAAGTCTACTGTCGAGGCTCATGTAATGTCCAAGCCAAGTCCACTATGGAGCCGCAAAGAGAATACTGCGATATTTGCAGGGTACTAAAGACTACAAAATCCAATACGAATATAACGAAGAGTCGAAGACTCAAGACTGATTGGCTACACAGACAGTGACTAGGCTGGATCAGCTGACAACATGAAAAGCACCTCTGGCTACACATTTTCTCTTGGCTCATGTATATTCTCGTGGTCATCTAAAAAGCAAGACTGTGTGGCACAATCTTCTGCATAAGCTGAGTACGTTGCAGCAGCACTAACAACAAGTCAAGCTATTTGGCTAAGTCGTATTCTTGGATACATGGGAGAACACCAAGAGAGTCCAACTGAAATATTCTGCGACAACAAGTCAGCTATAGCAATGGCGAAAAATCCCGTATATCACAGTAGGACCAAACACATTGCTATCAAATATCATTTTCTAAGAGAATCAACTAATGACAAGCAGATAGAGATCAAGTATGTCGCTTCTGTAGATCAACTTGCAGATATTTTCACAAAGGCTTTAACGCGACCAAGATTCGAGACTCTACGTGAAAAACTTGGAATTATCCAAATGAGCATTAAGGGGGAGTGTTAAATTATTAATGCACATTCTAGAAATAATTAGGTTTTCATTAGTTGGCATTAATTGTCATTAATTGAGATTTAGTTGGCATTAATCAATTATTTGAGCTCTAGATTATTCTTCAAACTACTATATATATATGTATGTAATTTGTGAATGTAAGTAAGAAGAAGAAGCAAGTGAATTGATTTGATAACAAACTTCTTATTCTATTCCTTCACATATAATAAAAATCCTCTTCTCAATTATAATTGGTAAAAATAATAATGGAGAAGAGGATTTTTATTATATTTGAAGGAATAGAATGAGAAGTTTGTTATCAAATCAATTCACTTGCTTCTTCTTCTTACTTACATTCACATATTACATACATATATATAGTAGTTTGAAGAATAATCTAGAGCTCAAATAATTGATCAATGCCAACTAATGACAACCAAATCTCAACTAATGACAATTAATGCCAACTAATGAAAACCTAATTATTTCTAGAATGTGCATTAATAATTTAACACTCCCCCTTAATGCTCATTTGGATAATTCCAAGTTTTTCACGTAGAGTCTCGAATCTTGGTCGCGTTAAAGCCTTTGTAATTGCAGATCTACAGTAGCGACATACTTGATCTCTATATGCTTGTCATTAGTTGCTTCTCTTAGAGTTGGTGCGACTGGAGCCAGATGGCGACCGCCACGCTCAGCCACTGGATCTGAAGGACCATCATTCTCTGCAGATACCATATCATATGTAATTGTTTATTAACAACCAGATTCAACACCATCCTAGAAGGCAAATGCACAAAATCAATTAACCCCACAAGCCACATGAAATGAATGACAATCATCAAGCAAAGAAAAATGTTTGAGTGTAAGTACTGCAACTCACCAGTGTGCTCTCGAAGCTCGATGGAGGCACGATCGTGACCGTTTGATCATGTGAAGCAGTGAAGCTTCTAGAGTTCCATCCTCCACCAGACGCGGCCCGTTTTGGGCATCAATTTTTAGTGTGCAGATATATGCAGACATTCGAAGGAAGAAAGAGAAGGGGAAAACATCAGTTTTGTGTAGGAAGGAGCACAATCAATCTCCTCCTCGGAGAAAAAAACCTTAGGCTTTTCTGAAAGAAATTTTATTGATAGGGGAATTTTACATTATCAGAAATTTTTGGCTTTAATGGTTGATGATCGCAGTAAGCTACAATCGACATATGAATACGATGCTAAGAACTTTGAAAAGGCAAATCCAAAAAATGAGTACTGATACCCTCACAATGCAGTGACGCCTTCTTTTATAGTAGATAAAGGATAAAGATAACTAGTTGAGTGAAGATGGGAGTGGTTAGATCACATCTTATTGGTGCATGATTATTAATAAAAATTTTAGGTTTCTTAAAAGAGGTTAGTTAGATCACATTTTAATGGTGAATGGTGTATGATTGTATTATTAATAAACAAAACTGTGAACTCTATTTTAAGTCCCTGCCATGCATCGTAAGAATGAGTGCCGTGCACGGCCTGCACGGCCACCACCTATGCAGTTCTCTTCCCTGCCCCGCACCGCCCGCACGCCCCATGCTGCACACCAACTCCGCCAGGTGCCCGAACCCGAAAGAAAGACCCAGCAATCGGAATATTCATTATCAGGTATAAATTTTAGCTTTCACAATGTACCTATCATTATAGTTCATTTCCATCGTAATCCACCAATTCATTTTCCTTCTTCATGACTTAATATTTTTGATTTACCAATCCGTCAGAATTTATTTATTAGTCAAATGTTATTTATCACATCATTTACAGAATAAATTCCAACAGCAAACTTATGGATGTTGGCCCTTCAAATTCAGTGGCTGAGCCTGGCGGCCCATCTGGCTCCACTCTATCAATGGCTGGCACCAATACAAAACTTCCCGGCTTACTCCTCCCACCTCCTCCTAAAAGCGGTCGTCTGCTCGCTGTTTCGGTAAATAATCAGTTATGCTGTTCGATGTCGGACTTTTTCTCTCACTTTGGGGTCCAAAGCACAACGTTGGTACCACTCACTACCCCCAAAATCTATTCAGAATTGGGAACAATCGATCCCCAAAGAATCAATCACAAACATCTTTCAACAAGCCAATAGGAGCTTAAGGGGCTATATTACGCGGTTTAATGATCGAGTTCAAAATGGACGAAGAAGTTGACAGTTTGGACCAGAACTAATTAACAGACAAAATATCGGATAGCAAAATCAATTAAGTGAAAATTGTAGGTACCAAAAACAATAAACGAGTAAAGTTAGGATTGTAATTAAAAAATTGTCACATATTTTTTCACTGAATCCATATATTATACGCATACGGATATATATCATCATCCAATGAATAAAAAAGAAAAGAAAATGATAGTACTCTTCAGATTTTCAACCAATATCAATATCAATACCAATCCCAAACACAAATATTAAATAAAAACATAAAGCCTTTTAAATTAAAAGGCACCTCAATCCCAAACATTAAACATCAAACACCACCAAAACCTACCATCCATAAAAACCCCTAAAAACTTCACACATCATCACCCTTCAAACTCAAACAATCAATTCACTTAGTCACTAGAACACATATCAAACACACACACACACACACACACACACACACACACCATGAATTAGCTATAGATAGCTATAGCTTACCCCACTGTCCCCACAGCCCTCTTGTAACTGTACCTCTTTGCCACCACCACAAACGCCCCCAAATTCACCACACTCAACCCAGCCAGCAGCAGAAAGAAGTAGTGCAACTTCCCCCTGTCCAGATCGTCCGGTATCCACCCCGGCCCTCCCCCCCTCGTGCTCAGCCACGTCACCACTGTCACCAGAAATGAGCTCAGATAATTACCGAGTGCCGTCGTCGTCAGCGACAGCGCCGCGCACAGGCTCCTCATCGAGTCCGGCGCCTGCTCGTAGAAAAACTCGAGCTGCCCCACGAACGTGAACACTTCCGCACACCCTATTATGAAATACTGCGGCGCCTGCCACAAAACCGACACGTGGGCCTCAGCCCCACCCCTCCCGAGCCTGACCGCCTCGAGAACCCCTGCCGAGACCATCGCGAAAACTGAGATGAGAAGGCCCGTCCCCATGCGCTGGAGCTGCGATAGCCCGCTCGGGTGGCCTGTGAAGCGTCGGGCCAGGGGGATGATGTGGCGGTCGTACACGGGTACCCAGAAGATGACGCTTAGGGTGTCGAATATGCTGAGGGACGCCTCGGGTATTTTGAACCCTTTGCTGCCGAGGCCCGTGTCCATGTACTCGGCTTGCAGGACAAACATGTTGCCCATCTGACCGTACACCGCGCTGAACACGATCCCCGTGGCCCACACTGGAAGCAGGCGCACCACGGCTTTTAGCTCCTCCACCTGGGTTACCGTGCACAGACGCCACGGGTTAGCACGCGCACCCTTGCTGACGTCGGATTGCGTCTCGACTGCCGCTTTGTCTAGGAAACTGTTTGTAAAGAGAAAAAAATCAAACAGGGGAAAGAAATGCCAGCTAGGTCTAATTGATCTAGTAATTTGGAGCTTTAAAACGACTAACCGAAATTGATCCGTACGATCCAGCTTGCGGCTGCCGATTATCGTGCTCGACTGAGAGCCGGACGTCTCGTATAGAAGTGACTTGTCATCAGGCACTTCGACCCGATACTTTCTCAACGAAGCTACCACCACCTGGCATAACCGAGTCAACGGGCTTCCACCGGGCTTCTGGTACCGATACAGCCGTGTGCCGGAGAAGAAGAATCCCACAGCAATCGCCATGGCCGCGGCAGGAACTCCGAAACCCCAACCCCAACCGACATTCTCCTGCACATAAACCAAGACAGACGAGGCTATCAAAGCCCCAACATTGATCGAGAAGTAGAACCAGTTGAAGAAGGATGCCTTGCGCTTCTTCTCTGCCTCGTCCGTGTCGTCAAACTGGTCGGCACCGTACGACGAGACGCACGGCTTGATGCCACCTGTCCCGAGCGCCACAAGGTAAAGCGCCAGGTAGCATATCCCGGTTTGCTTGCTCGTCGCCCGACACTCGTCTTTCGAGCGACAAACGGGCCTCATACCCGGGACAGAAGCCGATAGGGTCAAAAGTGTCATACCCTGTATACAATACAACACATATGCATTACAAGAAAAAAAGGAAAACTTTTGTGCTAATTTTTGCGGTTAAAAATTCAAACTTACGAAAACGTAGATGATGGAGAAGGCGGCAATAGTCCAGTATCGACCGAGATACGCGTCGGCTAGAAAAGCACCGAGCAATGGCATGACGTAGCAAGTTCCCGACCAGTTTGAGAGATTTTTCGAGGCGGTTGTCTTGTGCTGGTTGAGCTGTTTCGTGAAGTAGACGACCAGATTCGAGCTCATACCGTAGTACGCTAGCCTTTCGCAGCATTCGTTCCCTTTTTTGCACCAAAATTGACGGCAAATCAAGCGAAATCACAATACCAAAGTAAACAGGACAAGCATATAATAGAGTCGATCGAAAAAAAGGTTATACCGAGGATGAAGGGGCAGGCCTTCCACGTCCCGGTTTTCTTCCGGTTAGCCGGACGGTCAAGATAGTCCACAGTTCCATCTTTCGTGTAGTTATCGTCGGCCATGGGTTCGTTATGTCTCGACCGGGACCTGGAGATTTCGAAATTTCTTCAGATTTTTAACAGTGATTATTAGTAAGGTTTCCACACTACCATCTCATGGATATTTTTACTATTAAGCTAATCAATTTGGTTAGAGATTTGAATGCGTTATTTATGGACAAGCATTATGGTATGGACTAAAAATCAGAAAAGAACCAAATTGGAATGAAGATTGAATTGTGTCATTCATTGTACACATTTTTTGGGTGGCATTTTTCTTGCAGTAAATTGCTGGAAGAAAAAGAATGTTTTTTTTTTTTTTTTTNNTTTTTTTTCTGCTCAGCATTTAGTTTCTTGCCCCCACAATTTGAAATTGAATATTGTAAGTAGAAAGACCTAACGACCTTTTTACGGCATTTGCAATAAATAAAAAAATTTAGAAAAATAAAAATGATAAACTGTTGTCCATTATGTCCAGAACCAAAAAGATCTAGAAATAAGCTACCATTCTGTCGGGTTTTATAACCTGTAGATCATCATGTAACCGTCAGAGATAGTTGATCTAACGATTACAAACCCCGACGGAATGATTCCGTAACGGGACCGTAGTATCTTCCAAATACAAGAACACACAAACTTTTACCACTAAAATACAAGAATAATGATCTCAAAACCAAAACTCTTTTTGAAAAACACCACAAAAAAAAAAAGGACATCAAAACAAATAATCAAATGAAAAAATATATGCACAAAGAGCAAAACTTGCCTTAATTCCTTAATGGCTTTGATAATCTGCTGCTACATATGTACTTAACGTATGAAATATCTTTTTTTTTTGGTACAATGAACGTATGAAATATCAACAACATTATATATGTGTGGTAAAAATGAAGTTAATCAGAAGATATTATTATGTCAACATTATATTATGTGTGGTCAAAATTAAGTTAATCCCCCCAACCTAGAGCGTGTGATTGTGAGAATAAAAATGTAAAGTCAACAATCTGAATAATCCTCAATAAGTGGGACTACAGTTTTTGTGATCATATTTATATGGATTGCCATTAAAATTTGTATGAAATTTTGGATTTTTGTAATTATGTTAATTTTCCGTTTGAATGCATTTCGAATGTACCCAGAATAACGTAAACATTCATTATATTAATTTGCATATCTTTCAAGATTCACTTAACTCAATTCTAATATACTTCAATATCTCACACAATCTTCTATGCATACATATATAAAAAGAATTACAATTTATCAAGAATAGTAAGTCAATCACTGGCCAAAATTGGTCAGCATTAATTACATGTCATTTATAGTATCTTTTTAATATTTTTTAAAATTTCCTTAAAATGAGGAGTTTGTTACTTTTTATTTTCAAAAAAGTTGGGCTGCTATTTAATTTAGGCTATTGAATAGTTGTGATGGTTTGACACGATGTGTATATCAAAGCTACAATGCACGGATTGCATCAGTTAAATTTGGTTATTGATTACAAAAAGCTATTTTTAAATTTGAATATAAATGTACGTCACGACTGCTAATTCAATTAAACATCGGGCAATTATATTTTCTAAATTTGAAACCATATATTCGCCTAATACAATTATTTTGTTTGACATCTTTTTTATAATAAAAGAGTTACAACTGATTTAATAATAAAAAAATTGCGTGCTATTTTTTCTAACCATAAAAATATATTTTTGTACTTTAAAGAACATTGAAACTTTTTTTTTCTATATAATCGACTAATAGCATAATACATATGTTTTGATTAGCAGATGTTATTTAACAAAACAAATTACGGCTGGTTTAAGAGTAAAAATATTTTTTTAAAAAAAAAATCATTTGTTTATTTCCTTTGAAAATATTTTTTCTAACAATCAAATTGAGAAATTAAAAAAATAAAGTTGCGGTTGATTCAATTATTCTGTTTGACAATTATTTATAATGAAAAATAATACACGGCTCTAATTTTGAAACAATCAAAAATTTTATGGTCATTGTTTAAATCAGAGATTTGAAATAAGAATAATCTCCGTATTTAAATTGCTTTAATTGTAAAACGTGATATATCCAATATTTAGATAGATTTATCACATATCATCCCCTACATTAATGATTTTTTTTTTATATCAAAATACCAAATCAAATTTTTACAGTCTTTGTTTAAATTAGAGATTCAAAATATCTTAATCTCCATGTTTACATTGCTTTAACTGTAAGACGTGATGTATACAAGATTTAGATAGATTTATCACATATCTCCCATAAATTAATGATTTTATTTTTTCTAAATTTCAAAATACCAAATAAAGTTGCGGTTGATTTAATTATTAAACGATATTTTGCAATCATAGATTCGGGTTATCTTCAAACTCAAAATTTAAAATGGCGATATGTAGATATGGACATATTAAATACATATGATCTCTAAAATGAAGGATGTTATTCCATTAGAAAACACAAAGTATGAACTTAAGATGTAGATTTATCATGCACGTGTGATAATATAATTTTACATGCTATGAAAGTCATATTGTTTACCCGGTGCATCGCACGGGATATGCACTAGTTTCTGTAAGGAGGCAGAATGGTTATATTAATCTGCACTTCATATTATTTAACAAATTTACAAAATATAGGGAGATGTTACGGTTCCTTTACGGAGCCATCCGTCGGGATTTGCAACTGTTAGATCAATTATC